ATACCCCCCCTACCCCCCCCCCGCGCCCGGGTTTTCACACTCTCCGTTACTGAAACCATCCAACACGCCCCCCCAAGGTCGGCGGACTGGTTGTTCGGAAATCAGGAAATATACCGCCCCTATAGAATCCATTCCATTATTCCCCACTAACTGAAAACCCTACATAGATAGATAGATGGATGTATAAACACATGTATAATATATATATATATGTATGACCAATCTCATTTATTCCCTACTAACCTCCAGTAAGCCAAAGGTGCAGCCGGGTTGCCTTGCCTTTCCTGCTGCTCACCAGTGGGTTGGACAGAGAGACCATAGGGTTTAGGGTTGAAACCTTAAGCGCTAAAGCCAAATAGTAAATTAAATAGTCGACTATAACCCGAATATATCCCCTATGTAGCCCTAGGTAGTAGTTTCCAATTTCTTTTCCATTATTCCAATATAACCCCAACCCTAAAGCCTAAACCCTCAATAGTAGGTTCCATTTTATTTTCCATTATCCCAATATAACCCCAATATATCCCCTATAGAATCCACAGCGATACGGTAGTTTTCATTTTCTTTTCCATTGCCATAGAATGCAGCGGCTTCCATTTTATTTTCCATTATCCCAATATAACCTTAACCCTAAACCCTCAACCCCAAAGCCAGACACAAGATGAAGATGCCTCAAACGCACAGCTAGTCGAGCATGTCGAGCCAAAGTGTCGCAGGCATCTGAGCAAAAGCGCTTCCTCCAAGCTGTCTATCAGTTTTATATTACAGTATATTAGGGGGTTATATTACAGGTTATGGGTTTAGGGTTTACGGTTGGGGTTATATAGGCATAATGGAAACTAAAATGGAAACTACTATAGTATAACAGGGCATATAGGGGTATATACGGTGCGAAAGATTGTTTGCAACTAAGGCATGCCGATCGTCTCATTGACCATCGACCGATTTCAGAGAATGCGGACTGGGTTTTCAGATTCCTCCTTGCCTGGGAGCTTTTGGGAAGCTAAGTCCAACAATCACACGGAGGGGGCCAACTTACGAAAGGCTTCCACTTGAACAAGCTTTTGGCGCACGTTTCCCCCGCAAGTTCACTATTGCAAGCAGTTTTTCCCACGCTAGCAAATGATCTATATTCTAAACTCCTTGAAGGGGGTTATTTTATATAGGGGAGTATATAGGGGACTATTATAGGGCTTATCAAGGGGATGCTAGGAGTTTAGACTATGGCTCAAATGGGCATGGCCAGGACACTCTGGTCCGCTATTTGGGCTGGGCATTGAAGGCGCCATGGCAATGGCTGGTCAGATACTTCCCCGGTCTAACTTGGCTGCAACAACATGGCTCAGATGGGGGGTTTCCCAAAATTAGTGGCACCATTTTGGGTAGTCCCCATAATCAGGATCATAGTATTTTGGGGTCTACATTGGGGGTCCCCTGATTTCGGAATTGCCCTATTGAATTTTGTGCGTCCCGACCTGGAAAGTAAGTGTTGAGCTCCTGGGCAGGAACAGCTAAAGGCACGATATCGTGTTCAGATAGTCGTCTAAGTTCCCATGGAAATCTTAAGTCGCGCGCACAGTGGAGGCAAAGGCAGAATGGAGTTTTTGCCAACCCCTGCCAGGTCCCTGGCTTCCACTACGTACTAGACCTTCCTGGTATGGGGCGCGTCAGCTGCTCAGGTCTTTGTCATGGTCTCAAGCATTCAATATGGTAGTTTCCCTAAATAAGGGAACCCCAATATAGAGCCTAAAATACTATAGTCCTTATTATGGGAACCCCCAAAATAGTACCCCCTAATTTTGGGAAACCCCCATATATATATATATATGGGCTTGTCCTGGAGGGCCTCGGAATTCTCAGCTAAGGGAGATTGTATCCAGTTGCCTGCTCGTCTCCTTCGCTTTTTTGCGGCAGGGTTGTTGCATGACCAGACTGGCTCCCGAAATCATATGGAAGCATCAAATCCAGTACTGAACATAATGCACCAACGCACTGATGCACTGGAGTTGAAGCAAAGCATTCTAGGCAGGCGCTCTTCGCAGGTGCAAAAAAAGGTTGGTCCTTATCAGGAATAGATTGAATAGATGGATTCTCCACCAGGAGCCTTGGCTCTACAATGTGACACCATGAAAGCAAGACCGAAGATAGGTAAAGCTTATCAGGCTTCTCTGGACAAGGGGCGCCCAACTGACGTGGCTCGCCCTTCATGACATTGCATTTTTCACTGGGAAGAGAAACCTGCAACAGTATCACCTGCGGCTTGTGACGTGATACGTCATAATGGGCCTGGGCAGGCCTGTGGAACTTCTTCAACTAACATGCATCCTTTCTCAAATTGGACATGCACCAGCCTTAGGGCGTACACCTTCTACGCATATTCCTGGCGTCTAGACGTCTACTAGCTGGAGCTATGAGTCGTGCTTCCTAAACCGCGAGAAACTGTAAGGCCACTCAAATCCAGCCCCTGAGACCATCAGGAGCCATTTCAGCCATGAAGCGACATGAGCTACCCAAAGATCCACGCATCAGAAACTCAACTTGTTTTTCCCAACTGTATTTTCTGCAGTACCAGGCCCTGTCCTGGCTGGGACGGCGGCTCTCCCCGCCATCGGCCAGGCGGAAGCTCGAGGCTGCCAAGAGGAGAATTCGTTACTAGCAGTATTATCTTGATTATGAATTCAATCACCATCTTGATTATGAATTAGACATAGCAGTAGCAGTTAGAGTAGTAGTCAGTAATAGGTAGTAGAAGTAGCAGGAGGGCTCATCAGAAGTCCTACCAAGTTTACCCTGACTTGGGTACCACTCCCAGCTGTGCCCAAGAGTCATGCCATGAGGAGGCAAGTTTTTTTTTGTTTTGACAGATTTGGAGGTTTCCCAAAATTAGGGGTACCATTTTGAGGGTTCCATAATAAGGATCATTGTATTTTGGGGTCTTTATTGGGGTCCCCCAATTTTGGGAAACTACCTTTTTTGTGTCTTGATCGATGAATAGTACCCGCATGCGGGTCAAAGTTTAGTTCTTGAGGCGTGTGGCCTCCAAGCCTGCACCGGTAGTCTCCTGCATCATCTTGCTGGGGCTGATGGAGATCCATGGAGATCCACAGAAAGAGATGATTTCTGGAATCCATGGCAGAAGTGTCTCTTACTTGGGCTGCCTTGGAACACCATCAGAGGCTGTGCAAACCATAAGAACTAATGAGACTGCAAAACATGAAGAACATAATAAGTTCGCAAAAACTTGAACCCAACACCCTTCAAAAAGCTCAAGCCTAAAGCCTTGCAAGCCCTTGGCCTCAGCTGTCAGCCGCAAGGCCCCTCGGCCTGTTCCGCGAGCCAAGCAGGAGGGTCGGAACAGCACGTGTGAGGGCATCAAACGGCTGGAATTACTACTATGTAGGGTTTAGGGCCCAGGGAATGGAGAAGAAACATGGAACTTACGGTATCATTCTGGATTATACAAGTACCACAAGGAAGTATTCCTTCTTTTCTCTTGTTCGTTGTTTGGGAACTTGGGGTTTGGCTTAGTGTTCAGGTGGGGTCAAGGGTTCGGAGTGTCGGGTTCATCGCAGTTGGATATTTATTGTTGTAGCCCTTATTATGACCCCGATTGTTACTGGTTTGGGGGGCTTGTGTGGAGTTTGTAGATGATAGATCGTCATTAGAAGGCATTAGGGACAGGGCTTGGACCTTTTGCTTCACTGTGGTTAGTTCTTGAGGCTGCTGTCCGGAGTGGGCTGTGGGGTACCCTTTCACGTGGTTGCCATGATGCCCAAGTTCCTCCCATGTTGACCAGAGTGGGGATTTTTGCAAGCCAGCTGACATAAAGCAACAGATGTTGTAATGCAGTAAAGAGTCACATATTCATTTGCCCATGACACGATATACGGGTAACAGTAACTGGAATCCCCTTAGCATTTTTCATCCTGCGGCAGGAGCGAGCCGCGCTGGCTCCTGCAGCCGTCCACGTGCTGCTGGCATTGCGCCTGGCCGCCGTGGCTGCAAACCCCATCGATGCAGGGATGGGGATTCCCGAATTTTGCAGGGTTTAGGATGCCTTGGAAGTGTCGTTTAGGGAAGTTGGGAGGTGTCGGTGTTTTACCAGATCTCCTTCGAATCGCCATTTGTTTCTGTCATGATTGGGGCAAGTCGGCTTAACCTAGGGTTCTTACAGATGAAAATCGGCAAAACAATCTTGCTTAGCTCAATCACCCAACACCTATCG